GTTTTTTTTCTAATAAATGAAAATGTCTTTTGGTACTGAATTATAAGTCTTTTTCTACTGATTCCGTAGCATTAAAAAACACATTGCATAGCATTGAAAACATATTCCATAGCGTTGAAAACACATTCCATACAGTAATTCCAACAACCATTCACAAAAAAATTTGAATACATCAATTGTCAAAAACCATTCAAAAGATAACAAAAAAAGGTTGAATACATCAACCATTCAAAAATCAAATCAGAATTTCTACATCCGCTGCAGCTCTGTTTCAGTTGGGTGGTGCTAATGGACTGAGATTGACAGCAGTTGTTGATTTGGGTAGAATGAATGCTCCAACTTGATTGCTTGTATTCCTCCGAATCTAAAAGTGATAAAAAATGAATTTAGTAACAATGAAATGATTTTAATAAATAAAAAACCATACTGGTAATTTTTTCCTAATTGCTCTGGCCAGTAACAATGGCCTGCATTCAGTTGTTGAATCTGCTGCAATTGATGTTCCTAGGATATTGACTCTTGAGGCAGTTGCTGAATCTGTTGTATTTGCTGCTATAGTTGCTGAATTTGCTACATTTGTTGCATCTGTTGTTGTTGTAGAATGTGCTGCATTGGTTGCACCTGTTGCTGCTGCAGATGTTGAATTTGCTACATTTGTTGAACTTGTTGTTGTTGCAGTTGCTGAATCTTCTATAGGTGTGCAACTTCTACGATTGCGGCCAACTTTCCTACATTTAGTGCAGGTCATCACAACTTTCCCACATTTCCCTAGTTTCCCTTCTTTCCTCCTTTCATCTGCCTCTCTTCTCCTCTGTTTTTTGGGTCTGCCAGGTTAAACAGTTAATGTAGGTGGATTCAAAGGCCTTTTTCCAGAGCTTGGGCACAAGTTAGGTCCATTAATGGGATTGATCAGATGTTTATACAAATTCATATAGGATTCTTTTGAGTAGCATTCATGCACACAATTTTCAGGCTTGTCTCCCTTGTGCAAAATAGGAGAAACTGCATGTGCACATGAGATTCCACATAATTATCACTTTCTACATGCACATGTTCTCTCTCTCAAGTCAACAACAAATTGAACATATGACCCTTTAACTTGGAATTGTGATCCACCTGACCATTCATAAATGGAGCCCATAGCATTTGTTGAAATGTAATCTAATTTTTCCTCAATTCTAGGACATAATGGACCAGGGTGTCTACTCATGTCATCTCTATGTTTCCTAATCCTTCTCATCAACAACATTCTAATTTTTTCCAGCATTGTAATAATGGGTTTCTCTCTTGCCTCCACTATGACACTATTGAATACCTCACAATTGTTGTTTATCAACATATCACATATTCTACTAGTGGAAAAGTATGCCCTGCACCAATGTTGAGGTGGGACACCTGAATCTAACCACCTAAATGTCCCTTCATCTACATTTCTCATATCTTCCATGCATTTGTTAAAGTACTCCAAAGTGGTTGCTTTGGAACATTTCCAAAATAGTTGAGAAAACAACTTACCCCTATACTCCTTCTTGAAGTTACTGAGATGGTGTCTTGCACAAAATTTGTGCTCACAGTCTGGCAGAAGGTCATGAATTGCTGGCACCAAACCCTAGAAATGGAAAACTCAAAATGCATTAAATTGGTATCATTTCAAATGTAGAATCAAACATAGTATGTATGTAGATTAATACATAGTATGCATTAAACTGATATTACCTTTTGTTGGTCAGAAATAATAGTCCACTCAGACTGGTTTGCAAGCTCAATGTTAGCACAAAGTAGTTGTACAAACCAAGTCTATGATGATTTTGTTTCCTTTTCAACTACTGCATATGCAAAAGGGTACATCCCGTCATTTGCATCAATCCTTACTGCTGATAGCAACTGCCCTATGTATGTTCCTCTTAGAAAACATCCATCTAATCCAATCAATTTTCTACACCCTGTTATAAAACCTTACTTGAGTGGCCCTAGACAACAATATAATTTTTTAAATCTTGGATTTTCATCTCCACTAATGTTGTCATCCACATCTACAACCATTATAGATCTTGGCATTGCCCTTTTGATTTCTTTACAATAATTCCATATAAGTTTGTATTGCTCACTATGATTGCCAATAGCCTTTTGCTTTGTTCCATAAAATTTACTTCTTGATACTCCAACTGAGTGATTATTTAGGATAGTTTCTCTAAAAGACTCTATTGGCCACTGTGAATTGGACCTAAAGTTATCCACATACCTTTTGGATAACCAATTTGATGTCACGTTTTTGTTATAAAATGCTGGCCTAAAATTGTTATGCTTATCAATCAAACTCTTCACTTGCAATGTGCTTTCACCTTGCATCTTAGATGCAAACACCATCCATTTACATGGTGGCTTGCACTTGGCTCTGACTCTCCAATTCTCATTCTTTACAAAGCTTATTTCCTTCCTATTCAATATGGAATACTCCTTTACAGCATCTCTGAAGCGTTTAGCTGTGACAAATAACATACCAACTGCAAACTGTGGATTGTTCATGTGCTTATCAGGATCAAAGTTACTATCACTAGTGCTTGATTGCACTTGGCCTTGCATTTCATATATTGTTGCCGCATGGTTTGTGTATATCTCAATCACTCTATATGTTGGTGTCCATTCCACTATTGAAAGAATGTCTCTATCATATTCCAAAACCCTTAACCCACTGATGAAGTCCATTGCAGTAACTCTATACCAACATGCCCTTACATCAGCACACCCAATCTCTTTGGCCATGCAATGAATCTCTGGAATCGAAATTTTTGCTGCATCAATCCAGTCAATGTACATAGTAGAACCACCCACATATTTCTTATATAGTATGCTTATAAACTTACCCCCATAGTGTACTTCAATGCCGAATAAAGTAGAGTATATAGCTGAAACCATGCAAAATTACAGTAAAAATCACATAAACAGATGGATTACAACACTTTATTGGGACCTCTATTATTGGGAACACACACAAAAATATATTCTAATATTCTAAAACACAAATAATCAAACTTCTGGGACCACTTATATCAACATATAATACAAGACAAAAAAACAAAAGGTAGATCTTTCAACACCAATAGAAAATTGAATCCCAAAAATCAAATAATATAATAATCGTCTTCATTCAAACACTTATAAAAACCTAGAATCATGACTTACAATATATTTTATCTGGATCCAAAAATTGATCTACAGGTCGCAACACCCAAGACATCGTTCTAGTAAGCCTCAAGCACAAAGAAGCAATTGATTAAGGTAGGGTTTGTGAACAATGTATGAAATATGATGGGTTTTTCTATGAGAAGAGACCAACAATTTTATTTTTTTTTGAATAAGGAAGAGACGAACAGTTGAGCCAACTTACCCTGGAAGAGACGAACAGTTTCTATTCACTTAATTACCCCTGGACCTTGCCTCACGTGAGTCATGTGTGCGTTTGTCTGTCACAGTGAACAATTGAATTGGATGGAAGGGCTTGATTGACATACATTGACAAGTTTAGGGACTAAATTGACACAAACCAAAGTTGAGGGGCTAAATTGATACAAACCAAAGTTGAGGAGCTTAATTTACTTAAAACATATAGTTTAAGAGCTAAATAGGTAGTTAACTCTTCTCTCATCTCCCTCCGTTTCTCATTGCCGATGATGATCCAAAGCCCCACCCACCACCACATCGGCAACCCCTCCATACCAACTGCTACTATCAACCACAACTCTTCAATAAAGTACAAACTACTTCAAACACAAAAACACTAAGGCAAGAACCAGTAGATTCAGGAAGAGCTAGTGGAATCGACAAGAACTAGTGGATTCAGCATCCCATCCATCCTCACTGATGGGTATGTAGCAACTAATTAGGTCACCAAAAAAAACAAGAAACAGACCCAAAGCAAATAAAAAACAGTAGATAATTCTGATGTTCACTATGGAAGAAGCAGATTGGGAGGGGGTGGGTTTGTTCTTGAAGAAACAGATTGAAGGGTATTAGGGTCCTTTTATTATTTCTGCTAACGGTGTTAACATTGCCTTTTAGTCCACAAACTACATGGGGGTAGGGGTGTTCATGGGCCGGATTACCTATGGGTCCTGTTACTCGACCCGAAAAAATAATCCCAAAGTCTGATAGTTGGCCTGCCCAAACCCGAGTCCAATATCCTTAAAAAGAGGACTTGGATTTGCCCCCAAATCCATTACTCGGCCCGAAGTCCGCCCAAGAGCCCGCCCGCAAGCCTAGCCCAACCTACCATTCTTTTGAAAAAAGGTTATACTTTTACACCATTAAATTTTAAATTTTGAAATAAGTCTCTCAATATCGAAATTTGAAATTTTAAAAATTTAGATATTGTAAATAATGCATTATTTTTTTTCCATGTATTAAGAATATAAGTTTTAAATGGTAGAGTAATACAAATGATAAATAAGTTAATACGTGTCAACCTAGTTGAGATTTATTCATTCTATTAGATGTAGTTCATTATTTTATTTTTATCCATTTTGACTTTACTTTTGATTCAAAAATATAAGTTACAAAAATATTCATTATTTTGAAATAAAGATGTATATAAAAAATTCTGCAAACAGGCCCACCCAACAAGCCCGCCTATAGGCCTGTCCAATAAGCTTACGGGTTGGACTGCGGATAGCCTATCCCTATCCAAAGCCCGGTCCGACCCATCCAATAATTCACTCGAGCAAGAGCTTGAGTTTACACTACCCAAGTCTGGCTTGAAAAAATTTTCACAACCCTAAACCGGTCCGGCCCATTTACACCCCTACCTAGGGGTTACGTGTCTATTTTTAAATTTGAGTTACGTGTCTATTTTTAAATTTGAGGGAGATAACATGAAAAACGACTTAACCATGGGAGGTAAAGTGAAGTTTGCCAAAAAAAAAAAAACAAAAACTAACTCTCAGATTCACTGTAGAAAACATCGACACTTGGAGAGACGAAAGAGTGCGTGAAAGAGGAGAGAGATGGACGAAGAAGAGATAGAAAAAGCAGTGATAGCATACCTGAAGAAGAAGGGATTCAGACAAACAGAGCTTCCTTTCCGAGAAGAACATCAACAGACCAAGAGCAACAACTCTTCTTCAAACTTCGCGTCCGCCAATTCACACACTGACCCTCACATTGCCAAACACATCCTCTCCTTCTCTGAGTACGCTTTTTTTTTTTCCATAAATATCTCCAAACTCTCTCTCTCTTTCTCTCTCTCAATATGTTTATTACAAAATATACGTGCTAGTATTTGCTTACCGTAAATTTGAATATTTTGGGGTGTTTAATTTTTCTGCTTCTAGTTCACATCGTATGAATTCATTTACTGGTTTTTTTGGTTTGTATTTGTTGAGGTATATAATTCTGAAAACTTCTGGGTATTTGACAATTTTTTGGGGTTTATGGGAACGTGTAGGGTTAGGAATTTTTAGGGATTTCATGAGGTAGCTTAAGAATTAGGTTATTTGTTTGCCTATCTGAAAAACAGGGTTATTTTGATTTGATATAATTCGTCGTCACTTTAGCTTTATGAGGTCTGTTGGCAACAAAAATAATGACAAGAAACGAAAAGATTGAGTGAAACACATATTTAGAACGAGGAGGGTTCCATGCAGTTAGTTATTAGTTATATGAACTTATTTCTCTGGATAGAGTTGAGAACTAACCATTTTTGTTGTTCATGGAAAAACTTATGGGTCAAGTTGTTTTTTGTGTGGGTCTTATTAGTTACTCGTGTTTTGACCAAGTACAACTACCTCAGCCATTGTTAATCTTTGCAGACTTCTGAAACTGTTTTTTGGAATCTGAGGGCTATTTTTCCCTCCATTGGATTTTGTTTGTTGCACGACCAGTGTGCTAATTGGAACTTAAGTTTCAGAAATCAGCATGGGTAGCTTGCAGGAGAGTTTACATGGTTAAGTGTTTTGTTGTCATAAGATGCCGTACAAGCAGAATGGTTAACAAGTGCTCTTTTCAATGCTTTATATTTTAACTTCGTGTATTTTTTATTTAGGGTTCCATGAAAGGATTCCGGGATAATTAATGGGAAAACAAAGGTTATTTTCGGATTTTCAGTTGTGAATTTTATTGGTGGGATGCGCTAAAATTATAAGTGGATTTTGTTGCTTTCTGGTTAGGACCCTAACTCTTATCTTCCTCCTTCCCCAGTTGGAACCCTTATTGTATGTATTAGGTGTAGATATGTTCATGGTCAAAAAGGTTTCAACTTTTGATGTTAAAGGGGTTCTTGCAATCAGGTGTTGAATACTTTGAAGTTAATGTACTCTACTCCCTTTAGTACCTTTAAACTTCGAAAACTGCATAACAATTTTATTTAAGGCGTAAAGCGAACCAAAGTGAATCGTTCTACTAAGAAGCGAAGCGAACAATAAAAGCAAATATTTTAGTTTAATATTTTGATTTCTCTTAAATATTCAAGTTTTAACTTTATAAATACAAAATATTTAAATGCAACCAAAAATAATGAACACCTACATATTTTAAATAGACAAGATATTAAATATTTAATATTATTATATTTTAAAAATAATTAATTGACATAATCAGGTCATCTAAATAAAAAGCTAGCAAATATGGGTTTTACTCCCACCGTGATTGATTAATATCACTATTAAACAGAACACTCACAAATTGATTAATCAAATAGAGCATATAGCAAATTAATTAATCAAATAGAACATATAGCAAATTAATTAATCAAATAGAACATATAGCAAATTGATTAATCAATTTGATTAACCAAGTTAATTGATTAACAAGAGCATTCACTACAAAACAAAATAGAGTATTCAACATCATCTAATTATAACAAGATATATTACCATATGATACTATCAAATGAATCAATTAATTTATTTTATACATATACATATATCACATCATCTCTGCTAGGGTTTAGTTGATGTTAAGGAGGAGGGGGAGGGGGAGGGGAGGGGGAGGACAAGAAAATAAAAAAGATTGCAATCAGGTGTTCGCTTTTCTCGCATGGCTCGCTTCTTTGCGTAGACTTTCTTTTTCTATGCTTTACTTAACCTTGCTTCGCCTTGGCTGTTCAAGACGACCAAGACTCGCTTCATTTCGCTTCTCGCCTAGTCTCGCTTTTCACAACACTGCTGCATAAAAAACCAAGTGAAAAGAAACTGCACTGGAAAACGAAAGTATAATTAAGGTCCCGTTTGGTAATGTTTATGTTTTTGTTTTTATTTTGATATTTAGAGAAATCAAGAAAAAAAAAACTCGTTTGATAATCGTTTTTATTTTTTTTTCTGTCATCATTTTGTAAACGAGGGGCGATTTCAAAAACGAGAAAAAGACGTTTTTTATTTTTTGATTCTATTTTTCGTTTTTTAGAAAATCAAAAATCGTAAACGTTACCAAACGAGCCCTAATGTATCAGTTTTATACTTCAATTAGTACCTTCCTTTAAAATTTGAAACATGCATAAGAAATTAAGTAACAAGGAACTGCACCATGAAAATAATATTTTTTATTACAACGTATGCATTCCACAGGATGGTGGTTGCTTCTGAACACCATCCAGCTTGCGAATTAATGGAAGGCGTGTTCTAGAACATGGTACATTCTCTTATGGGAGCACCAAATTTAGCGATTTTGATCCTTTTGATTTCTCCTTTTTTTTCTTTTAGATTTCATATGTGTAAGAAGAAACATAAAAGTAGTGAATTGAAAAATAGTATGACTAACCCTTTTGGTTGAAGATGGAGAAAGGGTCACATCACACAACTATACACTAGCTAATAGATTGATTTATATTAGGTGCATGTTTCATGAAAAGGAAAAGTTAAGGGTCTGTTTGGTTTGCGTTTCAAAAATTAGTATCCGAAAATAATTTTTGAGAAGAATTTTAAGAAAGTAGTTTTGATATTTTTTGAGATAAAAAACTTGTTTGGTTAGATGATTTCAAAAACAATTTTACAATACAGAAAATAGTAAAACTTGTTTCGACAGCCTAAATATATATTTGAACAGTAATTCAAACATTAATAAAAAAATATAAAAAAATTATTTTTATATTGACAAATTCATAATATATATAATATTTTTATATTATATATATATATATATACCCATATTTGAACATCCAAAATTGTTTTCCTTGTTTTCAAAATTTTCAAAGAAAACTCTAAAAACAAGCACACTTGTTTTCTATTTGTTTGACTCAAATCTAATTTTTTCCCAAAATTTAGAGAACAAAAATGCTAAACAAACAGGATTTGGGTGTTTTTAAAATTTTGGGAACAAAAAATTGTTTTACAGAAGCTAACCAAACACGTCCTAAATACTTTTTGATTTTTGGAATTTCATTTTACTTTTTCAAGGAATGGTAACATAAAATTAATCCATATTTTGGTTGCACACTTTTATTTTTTGTTTTCCTAACTATCTCTATCAGTTTGTTTTGCCTGTTCATGTACCTTGTAGCAATCTCCTGAATTTTAAGTATGAAAGTGATTTGCTTATTCTGTCCTAGTGTAAATGCTCTAACTTAATGCATTACATGGATTCATGTGAAAAATAGCTTGAAAACCAAAATGATATCACTCATGGGAAAATTGAGAGTGCACTTATTTTTTTAAATGAAATTGTTTGTGTTTGTTTATTGCCTGCCTTCCTAATTTTGTTATTCTCGCTCTGCCATGAATAATTGAACTTAGAAATTATGGTCTCCATAGCAGGAAACAATTATTAATTAAATAATTGAATACCTTTGAAGAAATTAGATTTGGCGGGGTCCTCTTCTTGCGATTTTCTTGCTTTCTGGTTCTTGGACGATGAATTTATACGATTAACCTGTGAAACTATGTGCTTTGGGTCACAAAATTGGTTTTCTGCTTTTGAATGACATTGATATCCAGAAAGCTCTTACATTTTCAATTTTGCCTCACTATGACATTGTAGTGTGCTCTTGCAAAACCGACTTTCATTTGATTTTATGTTTGAAGACAATGACATGACCGCCCCATGTTGGCCCCAGATATACTGTTACTGGTCTTGAAATTAGAATGTCAAGCCAGAGTGTTGTTTGACAATGTCTGACCTTCATGCTTTGCTGCCCCCCATTGTTCTGAAGTATAACAAAATAGTAGGTCCTTGACTCCTTGTTCCTTTAGGTGATATATGCATCTTTTCTCGTTATTGTCTTATGCTTGTAAATAGGACATGCATCATTTTATTGAATTTCATACCTTTCAGATCAGAAATGAACCAGCACAATACCAGGAGGGATATAACAAGCTAAGATCTTGGACTTATAGCTCACTTGATTTATACAAGGTAACTAGCTGTTCGGTTACATCGGTTCTATGATTGTGCTATGAGCTGCGTTTTTTGCATTTCTACCTAATTATCAAAAATGTCTTTTTAACTGATCATGTTGCTGTTGCCTTATAGAGGCTCGGTAGATTTCACCCGATTATATTAGCTTGAAGTTCAAGAAAATACATTGAGATTGGTGTTTGAGTCATCTTGTCACTTTTAGGACAATTTATTTATTTATCTTGAACTTTCCCTTTGAGTAACTTTCTGGACTAAAATGCTGTTATGCTGGTGTTGGTTGGAGGAGATTGATATTCTTTTTTTTTTGTGGGTATTCCTGGGAACCAAAAGTAATTACTTTATGAGTTCACTTTTTGCATCATTTATGTACTTTGTAATGTAATTAATTCTGTAGAAAATGTGATGGAGATCGTATAGAAATTGGATAGATATTATAGATTAGTTATGAGAGTTATGTAGATATTTTTAATATTGATCTTTTAAGTAATTTTTTTTAACTGCTAAGGGTTTATTTGTCATTAGACCATTACTTATTTATTTTAGGGTTTTAGTTTTCCTATATAAAAGGATGCATGTAAGGGCTTTATTTAGATTAGACTTTAATTATTATTGAATATTGATATTGCTTCCTTATCAGAATTCTTTCTCTTTTCTTATCTCTTTCTTCTTCTCTTCTCATTCTTAATTCTTTCATTTCTAATCTACATCAATTTGGTATCAGAGCTAATACGATCTACATCAATTTGATATCAAATCTAATATAATCTACATCAAAATGCCTCCCTAATAATCTCTCCTAATTGAATTAGAAGTTAGATGGCCCATCATTATTACCTGATTGGGGAAAAGTTTTTAGGATAAGATAGACGTCAATATACTTCAGCCGAATTCATTATCAACTATCAACAATGAAGGAATTTAGACATGGTACTTTCCAATTCTTGTTGAAAATTCCTTCGTTTTCTTTACAAGTGGGCCTCGTATTTAAATTAGACATGTTAGGATTGGGTCATTACATGCTATTGCACAACGTATGAAAAATCCTTGAAACCAATGCCCAAAAAGGGGTTGAGCCCTATAGCCCCCATGGGGCACAATCAGTTAATAAATTCTCTCATGGCCTTTCCCTTTTTTCTTTTAGTAGAGTTAGGTAAAGCAAGAACTATTGACAAGCATGACTTTTCATCTATCACACTCATTTAAGGCTTTTGTTTGGTTAAGAGTCACTACCGTTAATGTCACCATTGAGGTAATTGGGGAATTACAAAATAGCCGGTGAATGAGAAAAGGGGAGTATTACGTAAGGTGAGGTCCATGAGGAGCTTGTACATGGCTAGGGACTGTGCCTTTGGTGTCATCAATGCTATAGCAGACAAAGTAAATAAATAGCTGGCGGTGACATGCAGCAAAGTTTGTTGGATAGGGACCTGGTTGTTTGGTCGAATCATTATATGAAGCTTGGGGCTAAATATTAGATATCTTCCATAAGAGTGTCCGTGACTATCTCAAACAACTTGCAAGTAAGTCTAGATGGCATGAAATTATGTGGTCCTCCCAAAATTTTTACCGTGTGCCCCCCCGTCTATATTGACAATTACAATAAGATAGTATATAAATTTTATTGCTTAAATTTGTTTTGAGCAGTGCATATGTGGGCTCATGGAATTTATTTATTAGGCATTATTTGTTTGTTTGTTTATTGGTTATTTATTTATGTTTGTTTATTATTTATTTATTAGACATTAATTTAAGAATAGTAGATTTATGTATGAATGCCAGAAGAGTGGATTTGAAACTGGTTAAAAATGTTGTGGTCAATATAAAATTACTAAAATTAAAAGGAGTAATCATGAATATTAAATTCTTACAAGGGTAGAAGTGTAATAGGTATGGTATGTGTAGGTAGATGTGGTTAAGTCATAAGTGTAGTAGTTGTGGTAGGTGTGTTTAAGTGTGGTAGTTACGATTAGAGTACTAGGTGTGATTAAAGTGTAGTAGTTGTGGCATGTGTGGTTAGTGTGATAGCTGTGGTTTCCACTATAAATAGACTGTCCCACCTCATTTTCATACGTTAATCACATTTTCTCAAGCCAAACAATCCTAGACTTGAGAGAAAAGAGGGAGAAAAGGTAGAGAAGTTTAATTGGGGCTGTCGGATCCGAGATTCTTACAACACAATTTGTTGTTATCTTTTATCTTTGTTTGTAGGGTTTCTTTTCGCATGCGCTAACATTGATGCATCTCATGCATATTTTGGGATTTCATATCAAATCTATGTTGAATATATGATGATTATATCTTGTATCTCATTATTCATTGGGTTAAATTGGGATCTTATCGAATACTTGTAATACGGGGTTGAACCCCTAAGCTTATTTTGGAACAACTTTGCATGTTAAATGTTTTGGATTTCATTAACTTGGGAATATGTTACTTTTGTTATATATAGCATATCGGTGGGACTTGGGCGGTGCCATTGGATTCCTACTAAACCTAAAGAGGCTTGGTTAATGGTATTGGATTTTGTGGTAGCCTATGTGGCACCACAAATCTCTGATTTTGGTTTATCTAAATAATAGTCCTAGTTGGACTTAATTTGTTGACTTAATCTATACAACTATTGGATTGGTTGTGGGTTCCAACTAATATGAGGGACCATTGTCAATTCAATGATTATAAATAATTAGGTCAGCAAATTACGTTAAAGTATCTATTAAAAAAAATTATGCCAACATAGTATTGCTCTTCTCTAAAAAGCAAGAAGTGCGTTGTGGTCCCTAGGGTGCAAGACCCAAAAGCTCCCCAGGGGTTGGTCATTTGGTTCATGCTTGATAGGGGATTAATCCCTAACTTTGATACGTGTGCCATTTATGAGATTTCAGGATTCTGGGCATCTAGATTATTATATAGACCTCATTATTTTTAAATATCAGGTTCTACACATTGTGATGCATGTTTTGAACTGTATATAGATTTATGTTACTTCAAGATGTTATGTTGCTTATATTATAAATATTTTATTGCATTGGTTTTAACACCTTGGTAGTGTTTGGGCAAAGTTATCCAGTTGGGCTAGTTAAGCTCATCCCTATTTACATTTTTTAGAGATAGGATTGGAGACAGAGGAGATAGTTGAGGATTATCATCTAGTAACTTACTTTCGTGTTCAAAAAAATAAAATGAAATCTAGTAACTTGATTCCTCACTTTGATTATGTAGTATTCCCATATTTGTCAGATTAAGGGAGACTGTAATGAAATTAATTTAGATTTGCGTTCGCTGTCGTTTAGAGATATAAGTTTGTAAGCTTTATTGAAGGAGGATGGTGGTTGTATGTTATGGTTTAGATATTTAGCTTGATGTGAATGGATTTTAAGCTTCCACAGGTTATGCTCTTGCCATTATGTCAGATGCCTATTTTCAAACTAAAGCTCAATTAGATTTTTGATTAATGTTTTCTTTTAACAAAAATTTTCTTAAGATTTTCAATTCAACTCAGTGAGCTTATGTCTAGTAAATGTATTTTTTTTAACTCACTCCTATGAAATTTTGGGGCGTGACAGCATAGCAGTGCTTAGACCTTATGACCACAATGCCACAAGATACTATCCGACTCACTATAAATTTACATCCTTATCTTGTAACTAGTTGACTGTGATTTTAAGTTTGCAGCCTGGTCTCTTATCAAAACCTAAAATTGCAACTGGTGTGCATTTTCTTTCCGCCCGTACAGTTATTTCTGGATTGAACATCTGTGTCATAATCAATTTTGAAGTTCTTGCCTTGAATACCTGGCACAGACTATTCTAAAGTTCATTTATTTTGGTTTGTATTTCTACCATCCAGCATGAGTTGCTACGAGTCCTCTATCCAGTGTTTATCCACTGCTTTATGGATCTCGTGTCAAAGGGTCATATCCAAGAAGGTATAACTTCTTGTTGTGGTATTTCATCTTACTGCATACATTCCCAATTCCCCCATAAAAATGACAAGTATTTGAGTTTACTTTTAACAACTAAACTTGAATTTCCAGCTCGAGCTTTTTTCAATAGCTTCCGAGAAGACCATGAGATGATGCATTTACGTGACCTTCAAAAATTGGAGGGGGTTCTTTCTCCCTGTCATCTGGAGGTTATTTCCTATGCTATACCATCATACTGCATTTGGAGTTTTGGTATTTGGTTCTGAAAATCTATCCTGAGTTTTGGTATTTTGTTATGAAAATCTATCCTCAATCTTTTGTTAATTACAATGTAGGAGATGGAGTTTGCTCATTCTCTAAGGCAAAGCAAAGTGAACATAAAAATATGCCAGGTGATTACTTCATCCTGGGTCATTGATATGTGCTGTAAGGCTGGTCATTGCACATATATGAATATTATATATTCGTTTACTTGGGAAAACCATCTAGTTGTGCTTTCCAAATTTGATTATACTTGTTTGGGCCTTTGGCATTCTTATGCTTCCATAGTTCAAGGTTGCGGTATCGGCCATTGACTCAGAGGCTCTAAGACACTTTGGTTATGGTGTCACGTCGTGGTTGATACGAACTAAAGGAAGAAGTTGAATATGGCGAGAGATTCAGGTCATATTATGTCGTCGCGAAAAGGTATTAACCGATATGGTGACGATAACTTGGCGATTCGGATGAGTGGTGCAAGGCTCAGAGTTTATATGTAACGTGTACTAGTATCAATTCAGAAGGTGTCGAGTCGGATAAGACTCATATCGGTATTGGCCAATACTTTGAGCTTTGCACGCTCCAGATGATTCAATGATATACTGGAACATTTTTGATAGTGATGCTTTTCATAACTTTGATTGTTGGTGTGGCTTGCAAATTGGAAAATTGAGACATGGATCAAACACCAGTTTGAATCTGATCATTTTATTTTATTTTGGGCCATCTATATCATTGGCATGACTTACTGCAATTTCTACCTTCATAATGTACACCCATGAATTTAAAAGATATAGGGCAAACGTTATTTTGTTTTAGAAAAAATTTTCCCCTTGATTGTACATAAAATGCTTCTAAGCTGCACTTCAAAGTTTCATAAATGCAAAGTTAGTATGCCATTTCACAACTTGATTGGGATTTATAAGTAGAAAGTCTGACGCTTCTTCAGCCTTCCTTGATCTGCAGTTGGTTGGTGATAATCCCTTGGAAAGGAAGGGTATGTGTATAGCAGCAAGTTTAGAAATGTAGAGTGAGGTTGTATATCAAATTCATGTTGAGTAAACAAACTGATAAATGATAATAGATGTCTGTCAACTAGTTTTACCTCAATCAGTATCTGGAGGACTTCTTGACTAAACTTAGCTCAAGAGTTGGGAATTAGAGTTCACATAATTGATTTTGATGTTTAATTATGCTTTAAATTGTTGTGTTCTAACGTTCTTATTCGTCCAGAATTTACATAAAATGAAAAGAGAAACGACATTTCTTTCATTTTCTAATAGTCACTTTTTTTCACTTCTTTCTGATTATTGCTGGGAGAACTAGTTCTTTTTTTTTTTTTTGAGTAAATCAGCTAGGATGAGGTGAATTTTTGCCGTGTATGCAGACCTTTGTTTATCATTGATTGCTTGCTTCATATGAAATAGCTTTTTCATAATTGATTTCATTGGACCGAGCTCAGTCACCTGGGGGTTCATATACAAGGGAAAAGCTGAAACTGAGTGTCACTTTTTTCCAGAACTCTTACGATCTTCTGCTGCAATATTTGCACAAAACACAATCCATTATGGTTCTTGGAATTATCAATGAGCGTATCAACTTTCAAGGTACAGCTGCTGTTTCTTGCTTTGCAACATATTTGAGTATGCTTAAATTTTCTGTCAAATATTAAAACAATATATTGAGCTCATGATATCGTTGACAGTTTCTCCTGGACAGCCAGCCTCAATTTCTGATGATGCTGAAGTTGTTACACTTGTTGGGAGTGGGCAGGATGCAGCTAATCTGCTAAATCAAAAAGGAAAACATTAGGGAGTAAGTAAATAAAGCAGTTCAGTTCATCTCTCTCTCTCTGAGTATGATAGTTCCTTGTCAGGTAGTTTCATGTATGGTCTGCTGATTGTAATCATCATTAGATTGGTTGCAGTTTTGACAACTTATAATTTGGTGGTTCCATTTGTAGGAACACTTTTGCCTTTTGTTTTTTTTATTGAAATGAAGATGATATCTCTATAAACAATGCACCTCTAATATGTTAAAAAATTACTTATTCTTCATTAACTATATAATTTTCAACAGTTGCTTGAAGATACTTTAGAAGAGCGGTTAGAGAAGGGTCTGCTTTGTGATTCAGAAAAGATGGAGGGAGAAACCAAAGAGCGGGAATTGGAAGAATCCAAGGTACCAGACAAGCGTAGATGTCGTCACAATATTTGATAGCTTATATTTTACTCTATTTTACCAGTTTTTTTTTATTATTGTAGGTACTTTTTTTTCCTCCTATAAATTCATTTTATGTTTCTTTAGAAAAGATCAATGGAGGGGGGAAAGCAAGGGGCTTCAGTCAAAAAGTCCAAAAAGGACAAAGTTGTTGGTGCAACAGTGAAAGCTTCTCGGACTGAGGCAAACACAGTATCTGTGGCACCACGTGTCAAACCAGAGCTCACGTTGCCAATAATGTATCTCTGAAATTCCTGTTTCAAAGAAAAATGTGTTTTTTTATTTTAGTTTATAAGTTTATTAAATATAGCATCTATAATTATACAATATCAGAATAATAATAATTTTTTTTTTGTCTCCTGAAGTAAATCTTATATCTAGTTCTATATCAAGAGTTTTTTGACTGATGGATCATTTAGTCAATAATCAACAATTATTGTATGCTCAAAAAGCATATGCATGTATGATAATTCCATGTGTCCTTCCATGTTCTTTACTTCTTTAATGAAACCATTGTACATAATTAAGAAATATGGCATTTTAATATGATTAATGCCAACATTTATGCCTTTTTTAACAATACAGGAAAGTCATATAAGTTTTTGTTATGGATGTCTTGTATTCCACTCATAGTGGAAAACTGATTTGAAATTTGTTATCTTTGGGGATTTAAAAAAGTGGACGTCGTAAAACACTATTTCAAGTAAAAGACCAATTACAAACTCTATTGTATGAGGAGGTAAAGTATTTTGGGTCAATAAATTGATTATAATAGACCACTAAGTTTCTTTTGAGAATTTTGACCCCCAGTTTTGGGCATCCATGTTGTTTATATTCTCAGGGCTAGAAAATTTTGTGTAATCTCCTTGAGTGATCCATGTATATTTGTATATTTTGTATTTTTCTATCTCGTTCCATTTATTGTTTATGGCTTTTGTTCATAATTGTTAAGTTGAGAGAATTAACATAACACAATATTAGAGACAATATTAGAGAGAAAGAGAGAGGTTCAAAACTTAATCTAACCCTCATACATCACTTGTATTTATAGGTAACTCATAATCATATGAATTACTCATACACATTCTCTTGTATTTACACATAATACTCTAACACTATTAACAATTTACATATACTACCCCAATACTCTTAACATTCTCCCTCAAGTTGGACTATATATATCATATAATTCAAGGTTGGAACAAATCTCTGTAAGATGTGTATGACTCAATGCTTTGGTAAACATATCTGCAAGCTGATCTTTAGATTTCACAAATGGAGTTGTAATCTCCCCAACTACTATCTTGTCCCGAATAAAGTGAAAATTAACCTCAATATGTTTGGTTCTCTTGTAAAACACCAATTGGCAGCGATATGGATAGCTGCTTGGTTGTCACAAAACAACTGTAAAGCAGGTTGAACTGTAAACTCAATTTCCTGAAAAAAGTGTAGCAGCCACGTCAACTCACTCGTCATAGCGCCATTGTCCTATACTCAGCCTCAGTACTGGATCTTGTTACCACAAATTGTTTCTTACTTTTCCATGAGACAATGTTATCTCCTAAAAAAGTATAATAACCAGTGGTTGATCTCCGATCAGAAGAAGAGTCAGCCCAATCAACATCTGAGAAACCTTCCACTCTAAGATGTCCATTAGCTCAATATAACAGTCCAAGTCTATGAGCTTATTTAAGATATCATAGAATACGAGTGACTGTCTTCCAATGTGGTACTTTAGGACACC